ATTGAAAATGTGATCACTTTGAAATAGTAATGTGAATTTTTAGCTTGAAGAGAAAATAACATGAAATTTCAACTGTGTAGAAATAATGACAATGATTTTTTTTTCAGGTCAAAAATGTGTTCTGCATATATTTTAACACTGAAACAGTAAGTACAAAAAAACAACATTAAAATTTCAGTGGCATTTTTAATTCAAATCCTAGCGACATAAATTTACTTCCATAGAGATACATTCTTTTATCATCTATACAAAAGTAATCAGTAACATAATTCAATATTTATTCTTAAAATCAACATTTTCCATCCCCTTTTGTCAGGTGGAAGAAAGAAAAACCCTGAAAGTTTGCCATAGGATTTTCTAGACTTTACAAAGAGTGTTGTTAAGCCACATACTAAGCAGCAGGCAGATGTTGATGTTGAGAGAGCAATGAGCTTTCCACCAGGGCAGAGAGCAAGAGCAGACATGGCGCTAAGCATGCAAAATTGATTCGTCCACGCAAAGCTCTTGATAAAGAGTTTGTTAGTTGTGGCAAAAAAATAACTGCAGTATTGCAGGCACCAGGTCTTTCTGGAAGTGACCCTAAAGCTTTTATTGGAATACAGGAGCAATCCGTCTTACTTTCCCCTCTGGATCGCCGTATTGTAAAATTTAAGCTTATTACTATTAGATATTTTCGAGATGCATCAGCCCTTAGCAAGGCATGGTTTGAAAGAGTGTATGATGCTGTTTATTACATTAATTTTATTAAGGCAAAATAAAATCAAATAAAAAAAAAAATCACTTAAAAAAACTTACTTCTTGATTTGATTTTCTAATAAATAACAAAATGTCCTTAAATCTAAAAAAATTCATGCAGGCAGTACTGAATTCTCTCCAGAGTGATTTATGGTGCCGCTTTGACACGACGACAGAGTCTGTGACAAGTCGTGCTCCTTCACATCAATTCTTCTGATTCGTGCTGCTTGATGCTGCAGGTAGCAACAGCATTATCAAGAGGATGCCTGCAGAGACGGGCAGAATAAGAATGGAACGGAAAAGGGCAGAACCTCAGCAGGGGATTAAAAAAACCTCTTCCAGCTCATAGCTGGAATGCAAGGTTTCCTCTGCAGCTGTAGTCGAGAATAGTAGGATGTAAACTGCAGAAAATGTATTGCAATACTGATTGATAACAAAAGGAATGCATGGTATTATAATGCACATAATAGTGTAGTTTGTGCAAAATAAACTTGTGAAAAGTATTTTTTTTCCTGTTCATATAAAAGAAAAACTTGTTTTTTTCTAAATCAACAATAAAAATGTCCAAAGGTCTCAGCTAAATAGAATTCTTTATTCTACTGGACTTATTACTAGCATATTTAACAACTTTAGTTGTTGTGAATAAAATTAAGATCATCTTCCTGAGGAGATGCTTGTTATAAAAGTAAGGTAAGTAATTTATGTTATTTTAGTTTTTTATTCTGAAACAAGGAAGAAAAAAGTAATTTTTATGATCAGTTTTGGTAGAGTTAGATTTTATTTTTAAGCCATATCGCCCATCCCTATCTAAGGGTAAGGAAAACTACCTCCAGTGACAATGTATAACTGTTACTGTATCTGATCTTGACCTCCATATG